ATTGGGATAGGCTGAAAACATTGCCATTAAGAACTGGAACAAGGCTCGGTGCCTGTGGCTCAAGTGGCTAAGGCACCATCCACATACACCCAAGGTGGTGGGTTCGAATCCAGCCTGGGCCTGCCAAGCAACAATGACGGCTGCAACCAAAAAATAGCCAGGCATTGTGGCGGGTGTCTGTGGTCCCAGCTACTTGGGAGGCTGAGGCAGGAGACTTGCTTGAGCCCAGGAGTTGGAGGTTGCTGTGAGCTGAAATGCCACGGCACCCTACCCAGGGGGACAGCTTGAGGGTCCTGTCTCAAAAAAAAAAAAAGAACTGGAACAAGACCAGGACACCCACTGTCACCACTTCTCATCACAGTGCTAGAAGCCCTGGCCAGAACAATCAGGCAAGACAAAGAAATTAAGGTATCCAAATCGGGAAAAAAGAGGTCAGACTACCACTTTTTGCTGACAGTATGATCTAACACTTTGAAAACCCCAAAGATTCCACCAAAAGAGTCCTGAAATTGATAAATTCAGCATATTCTCAGGGTACAAAATCAGTATACACAAATTAGTAGCATTCCAATATGCCAGAAGCAGTCAAACTGCCAGTCAAACGCTTGATACCATTCACAATAACTACAAAGAAAAGAAACTGCTTAGGAATATTCTTAACCAAGGAGGTGAAAGAGCTCTACAAAGAGAACTGTGACATATAATGAAAAGAAATTGCTGAGGATACAAATGGAAAAACATACCAGGCACTCATGGACTGGTGGAATCAACACAGTTACAATGTTCATACTACCAAAAGTCATTTACGGATTCAGTGCAATCCCCATCAAAATACCAATATTGCATTTCACACAACTAGAAAAAATAATTTTATGCTTCATTTGGAACCAGAAAGGAGCCCAAATAGCCAAGGCAATTTTAGCAAAAGGAACAAATCTGTAGGCATCACATTATCAGACTTCAGACTATACTACAAGGCTATAGTAACCAAAACAGCATGGTATTGGCACAAAAATGGAGACAGAGACCAATTAAATAGAATAGAAAACCCAGACATAAAACCATCCACACACAGCCAGCTGGTTTTTGATAAACAGAAATACACAATGAGGAAAAGAATCCCTGTTCAATACATAGTGCTGAGAAAATTGGATAGCCACATGCAGAAGAATGAAACAGGATCCATATCTCTCACCACTCACAAAAATTAACTCAATGGCTAAATGACATAAATGTAAGGCATGAAACCGTAAGAATTCTAGAAGAAACTGTTGGAAAAACTCTTCTGCATATCAGCTTAGGTAAAGAATTTATGAAGAAGTTCCTAGTGGCATTCACAACAACAACAACAACAAAAAGAATGGATGGGATTTGAATAAATTTAAAAGCTCATGCACCACTGAGGAAATGACCAATAGAGCAAATAGTCTGCAGAATGGGAGAAAATATCCATAAACTATACATCTGATAAAAGGCTAATAACCAGAACCTACAAAGAACTCAAGCAAATCAGTGAGAAAAAAAATCAACCCCATCAAAAAGTGGGCAAAAGACAGACAAACTTCAAAAGAAAATAGACAAATGGCCAACAAACGTGAAAAAAGTACTTAATAGCAATCATCAGGAAAGCGCAAATTAAAACCATAATGAGATATTACATTACCCCGGTTTGAGTGGCTTTTACTAAAAGTCCAAAAATGGACTGCTGGTACGGATGCAGAGAGAAAGGAACACAGTGGGACTGCAAATTAGTACAACTTGCATGGAAAACAGGGTGGAGGTTCCTCAGAACTAAATGTAGACCTGTCATTTGGTCCTGTAATCCCACTACTGGGATTTACCCAAAGGAAAATAAGTCATTTTATCAAAAAGACACATATACCTGAACGTTTACTGTAGCATAATTCACAATTCCAAAAGTGTGGAATCAACCCAAGTGGCCCTCTGTTCAGGAGCAGATTAATAAAATGTGGTATGTGCCACGGAATACTATTCAGTCATGAAGGATGATCAGTGCCTTTTCCAGCAATTTGGGATTTTTTTCTTTGTTTGTTTGTTTTTGGAGACAGTCTCTTACTTTTGCCCTTTGTAGAGTGCCATGGCATCGTAACTCACAGCAACCTCAAACTCTTGTGCTCAAGCGATCCTCTTGCCTCAGCCTCCCAAGTAGCTGGGACTACAGTGCCTGCCACAATGCCTGGCTATTTTTAAGAGACTTGCTCTGGCTCAGGCAGTCCACCTGCCTTGGCCTCCCAGAGTGCTAGGATTACAGGCATGAGGCACTACACCTGGACTTTTCCAACAATTTTGATGGAACTGGAGACCATTATCCCAAGTGAAATACCTAAAGAATGGAAAAACAAACCCCACATGTACTCACTGTGAAGTTGCAGCTAACTGAAGGGTATACACACTTGCACAGAGGGAAGTAGAACTTAACAGAAATCAAGCAAGGGGGAGAGGGGAGGAGGGGATGGGCAAAAACCTACCTAATTGGGGGCAGCGCCCGTGGATCAGAAGGTAGGGTGCTAGGTTCGAACCCGGCCAGCTAAAACAGCAATGACAGCTGCAACAACAAAAAAAGCCAGGCGTAGTGGCGGGTTCCTATAGTCCCAGCTCCTTGGGAGGCTGAGGCAAGAGAATCACCTAAGCCCAGGAGTTGGGGGTTGCTGTGGGCTACAGCACTCTACTGAGGGCGACAAAGTGAGACTGTCTGTACAAAAAAATCTATTAAAGTCCTAGCACCCATAGCTCAGTGGTTACGGCGCCAGCCACATAACCAAGGCTGGCGGGTTCAAACCTGGACCCGGCCTGCCAAACAACAGTGACAACTACAACAAAAAATAGCTGGGCATTGTGGCAGCTGCCTGTAGTCCCAGCTACTTGGGAGGCTGAGGCAAGAGAATTGCTTAAGCCTAAGAGTTTGAGGCCAGGGCATCTACCCAGGGTGACAGCTTGAGACTGTCTCCAAAAAAAAAAAAAAATTGCCTGTCCTGTTCAAACTAGTGTTTAACTTCTAGACTCTGCTTTTCCTACTTGACAAAAGTCAGTGCAGCCTCTGCACCCCTCCCAGTGCTCTCACCTCTGCGCACACTGCCACTTCTGAAGATTCATTTTATCATAGGTTGGGTGACCTGGAGGCCTGCTCATGGAAAGTGACTTGGTTCTCTCTTGCCATTTGCTGGTCCATTGGTGTCTTCAGCCTCTTAACTGCTCTGTTCCCCCTTGCCCTGTGTGAAACTCATCCTCCCCAGTGGGGGAGACAAGTAGAGATGGGTGCGGAGGAGGCTTTACCCTCAGAGCACCCAGCACCCACCCTGAGCTTCTGCCCCCTTCTGGTTCTAAGGAGAGTAACCCACCTTGGCTTTGGCTTTGGCTTTTTCTCCCTAGCACCCACTCATTTTGATCTATAGGCTTTCTGATACTGTTCCTTGCGTACTTACTCAGCTTCCACATTTATTTCAGCAATGACTGTGGTGGTGGTGGTATCTAAATATTCGTGTTTTTCATGTTGCAGTGAGCTTTTGCATACTTAGTACCCTGCTAGGCACCCTGTGAGGTACAAAACAGGCAAGTCTCACTGTAAAGAATTTATTTTCTGGCTCGGCGCCTATAGCTCAACCAGCTA